TTGCGGGTTTAGGGCCGCGCCCGGCCCCGCTCCCGGCCATGGCCCCGCGGAGGCGGAGCCAGGGAAAACAGGCTCAAAAATTGGGAAAAAATGAGCTGCCGTCGCCATCTACCGGGGATGGGACGTGTGGCAACGGGTTCCCGGGTTTCATAACCGCTCGGATGTTTTGTAAGGCTCCGGCAGCGCGGCCGGGGGAGGGGAGAGAAGCGGGGACGGTTCGGGGTCGGGTTTATTTTCAGAGCAGCGAGTCCTGCTCAGCTCCCAGGAATGAAGCTGGTTGCTCCATGAACGTGCCGTGCTTTCTCTTCGTGTGCTGGCTGAAACGGGAAAAAAAAACACAAACAAAAACAAACAACCCCAAACAAACAACAAAACAACCCACAACCTTCTTCCGCGTGTCTGCAGAAGTGGAATAAACTGATTTTGAAAGGCCCCCGGACAAGGCCCTGGCTCCCTGCTCTCGTGTTTGCTGGAAGAAATTCTCAGGAACGTGGAACTGAGTTTGCACATGGGGGGGGGGGGGGGGGGGGGGGTTGGTTTAAATGAGAAGTGGTTTATTTTTATGACTAAGTAGTTGAGAAGCTGCGCTGGGAATTCCACCATCAAAGCCTTGCTTGGGCAACAAAGGCTGGGTTATGTTAATTTATGAAAGAGTTGCAGCCTTTGAAGCTAAATATAATGCAACCAGTGGGTTCCTCTCCTGTAACACATACCTTGTGTGTTCTTGTGCAACTTGGGGGATGAGAAGCCTCTGGTCCTGCAGGCAGTTGGCCCTGGGCATGTGGTGAGTGTGTGGGTTTCCATGAAGCAGGGGGCAAGTCAGTGCTCCACAGCAGAAAATGCCAACTTGGCATTTAAAAGAAATACCCTGAGTAAGAATGACTTTGCTTTTAGAGGTGCTGAGCAGCCACAGCTCTCACCAGCTTCCCAGGGCACAGGCATTGGGAAACACCACAAACAGAGCCCACCCTTGTTCAAAGGCCAAGACGTGGGTTTAGGGGACCAGCTGTGGGCATCTGACTTGCACAGTTTGGCTTTTAGCCCCAAGCTCACAAATACTCAAATCAGCAGAGTCCAGCAAAATTACTTCTCTGTGTGCTGCTGAGGGCCTTTTGAGGACTGGGGCTGGTGGTGTAAGTAAGTCTGAGACCTGAGAAATCACATTTTCAACCTAAAGTGTGTTCAAAATATCTCAACAGGCTGTGTTTGCTGGGCAGCCTTGGTATTTCAGCTCCTCTTTGGCATCACAATTTTTCTTCCTGTTGCTCAGCTGTAGTTCAGGGCACTTGGCAGTGACCAGCCAGGTAACTATTTCTTGGGGGGCTGTTTTTTCCCCCTGGGAAACTGCTCAGCTTAGGAGCAACTTTCTCAGGAAGCCTGTTCCAGCATCCCAGCAAAAATGACATGGAAGCTGCATCCAATTTTCTGATGCAAAGCCCACAGCTTTTGTGTGGGAGTAGAAAGAATGGTTTTATTTAATGACCTGCTGAGTTTTCCATTTGTTTTATTGAACAAGAATTGGGGTAAGGGAGAAGCTCTGCTCAGCAAAAAGTCTGTGCCTGCGCAGTATGGTCGGAAAGTTGTCTCTCTTCTGACTTGGAATACTGTGGAATTCTGTAAATTGTTGTGTCCAGAGGGCCAAAGTATGTGGAGCTGCTGCAGCATGAGGGTCTGTGCTTGTGGGGGTGTTGGCTGGGCTGTTTAGTGAAGTTGTGATGGTTAAAATCATGCTGTAGGGTTTGGAACAGGGCTGGGATCACTCCAGTAGCCAGCTCAACTGGCCAGGAGGCACCAGGTGTCCTTGCCACAGCTTGGGACAGGGGCATCTAGGCCAGTTCAGTCCTTAAATCCATCAGGGAACTCTGTGGGTCAGAGGAGGTGCCAGCTGGAGGGTCCAACTGTGCCCTTGCTGCTTCAGCTCACCAAGAAGAGCTTTTGCAGTTTGCATGAAAAGCACTTTGCAGGCAAAGTGAATGAACCACCTTCCCAAGCATCTGTGCATAGTGAGAAGAACCCAGAGAGTCAGCATGTGTCTGTGGGTACTTCCACGGGTGCCTAGTGGTGCCCGTTTCCTCATTTTTCAGCTATTTGTTCTACCACCCTGTACTCGGGGCTTGTGGCTTCAGGCGCAAAACGGCAGAGCTAGGGTGGTGAAAATGGGTTGTTTCGGTTTGGTTTTGATGCCCTTCAGGTCTTCCTTTCGTGCTGATTACAGCCAGATTTGATCCTTTCCCCTGGAACTAAAAATGCAGGCGCCTTTGTCAGGCCGGGGGGTTTGTGCTAATCAAAACCACAGCTCAGCCCAGGCGCCCACCAGCCTCGAGGAGCTCGTGGGGAGGAGCAGGAGGGGAAGGGGCTGGCCAGGGTCGGGAGGACTTTGCTTTTCCCATTGCCTGGCTGAGACCTGCTGCTGCAGGGCTCGTGGGGCAGGATCTTCTCATCCCAGCTGAGCCCATGGCTGCTCCCCGGCCAGGAAAGGGCACTTCTCGGAAGCCGCGCTCGCTTCTCGGCGCCGCAGCCTGGAGCTCCTGAGTTCTTGAAAGCCTCTTTCACAGGAATGAGCCTTGCTCAGCTGGTGAGTCTAAAATTAGCCTTGCCAGCTGTGTTGAGGCTGGCAGGGACATGCTAGACTGGCTCTTCTCTGCTTCCTTCAGTTCAGGGCTGCAAGTTACAGCAGCTCTTCTTCCTCCTCAGTTGTTTTATTTCCCTGCTGCTGCGTAGGAATGACCTTGTGCAGAGGTGTGAGGGCTGGGTGTGATGTGCAGAGGTGTGAGGGCTGGGTGTGATGTGCAGAGGTGTGAGGGCTGGGTGTGATGTGCAGGGGTTTGTGTGTTGGGGTTTGAGTCCTGGAAAACAAGGGCAGAGGGATAAGGTGGGGAGGTCAGGGTGGGATCAGCAAGGTTTGTCATCCCTGGGGCTCTCCTTCCCAGCCTGCTTCGTGCTTCCCCTGGAAGCTGCCCACAGAGCATGTCCAGGTCACCCCTGGCTGGTTGGTGGTGGCACACGAAGAGCAAGTGCTCAGCAGCAGCCCTTGGGGCCCCTCATGAGGCTGTAACTCTGGGGCTGTCTCTGTCACCACAGCTCTCATGGTGTGGGGGGAGCAGCTGGTGCTTGGGATTCTTGGAGTAGTTTGCAGTTTGAAATCCATGTAGGAAGAGTCATTGTTTGCTTGTGACCCCTTAATGTTTCCACAACCCAGTGCTCTGTTTGGCCAGCTTCAAATGAGGCTTCCTCCATCCAGCAGCAGCTGCTCCCTGGGCACCAGCATTACCTCACTTAGTTGCTCAGTGTTGTTGTTGTGGTTTTTTTTTCAGAGCTAATCTACTTTTTTTTTGGGGGGGGAGGGGAACATTCATCAATCATTTCCAGCAGGGAAATGGGGAAAAAAAACCAAACCTTTCCCCTTGTCTTTTTCTGCACCTGGTGGTCTCAAGAGCAGGAGGCTGGGAGAGCAGGACTCAACAAACAAATCCTCCTACTCTTGTTATGTGAATGAGGTGACTGATGAATTGTCTCCGGCAATTACAGGAGGCAAAGATTGACAAGTGGCTGAGCCCTTGGTAGCAGGAAAACCCCATTTCCTACAGTCCAGACTCTGCTCTGGTGCCTGCTCTGGCTGCACAGCAGCAAACTGTGGCCCCCAGGGCTGAGCTCATCTCTGCCCCTGGTGTCTTTGGCCGTGGCATCAACGGGACATACAAATTGAAAGCAGATACCAGGGAATAGCTGGGAATGGAGTGTCCCAGGGCAGGATCTCACCCCAGGGGAGCTGCCTGCCCATCCTGCTCGGGCTCCCCTTGCTGTGCAGATGTCCCAGTGAGGAGGGAGTCAGACAGACCAAACCTGGGATCTCACTTGTGCAGAGGTTTCTGCTGCCTGCTCGCTTCCTGTGTCTGCTCTCTGTGGTGGAGAGCAAATTTCATCCTCTCATGAGAAACAGGCGGAGGGTTTAGTGAGCTATAATTGAACCCAGAAGTGTTTCTGGAGGAGCTTTTTGATGAGATAGTGCAGGGTGGGAGCAGAGGGTGCTGAGCAGAAGGGGCAGGGGGAGATGCTTTGAGAAGCACAGATGGGGCTTGGGGGCTGCTCAGCTTTCAAGTCCCCTCTGAGTGAGGGCTGACGAGAAATCAAAGCTCCAGCTCTTGTGGGGTCAGCATGATTCTGAGATGTAAAAAGCAGTGCTTATTTAGTGCCAGAGCTTGACTTTGCATCATCTCCCACCAAAGGCAGCTGCAATGCTGTCCCTTTCCCACATGGATGGCTGGACACCCTCCTGGGGTGGCCCTGCTGTCCCCAGCTCTTGACACCCTCCTCTGCATTTCCCCCATGGTGTTGACCTTGCAGTGAGATGTGGTGGCCCAGGCAGTGGCAGGTGTGTGCTGACACCCACTTTTTTTTCTTGAAAAAGGGGATTTGGTCGCTGTGGTGCTGAACATGCTCCTGCACAGCCCCAGCACTTCCCCTAACACCAGGAACCAACCAACCACTTGCTCTTTCTGGCTCCCACAGAGCAACATCAGACACCAACTGTTCTTGTTTTTCAAGCTCTTTTTTTTTTTTTTTTTTCTCTGTCCTTCCCTAAATCCCCTTCCAGCCTCCATGTATTTCTCTGGAGATGAAAGCACGGGGCCTCCTTTCCTCCCAGCTGCCTGGATTCTGCCTGGGGTACGTTTGTGCCCCTGGAGAATGGTTTTGTGACCATGGAAGTGCAGCAGTGTGTGCAGCCTGAGCTGCTCCAAGGGGCTGCTGCTCCTCCTGGGGAGGTCTCCAATTCACAGGCCACGAGACCATGTCTTGGCATTGGTTTCTGCCCACTTTGCAAGCTCTGAAGGGGATGGAGTCAACTCAGGCTCTCCCTGCTCTCGCAGCACATTTTTAAAATTTATTTATTTACCTCTTTTTCTCCTTCTCCCATCCTAAACATTGTCCTTTCTCTCCCCCACCCTCCAAAAGGGTGCTCCTGCAGTCTGGGGCTGATTTATCCCAGTAAACCCTGCACGATGCCTCCCATCACGTTCCAGGACCTGCCCCTGAACATCTACATGGTCATTTTTGGCACCGGCATCTTTGTCTTTGTGCTCAGCCTCATCTTCTGCTGCTACTTCATCAGGTGAGCCCGTTGGGGGGGCGTGATGGTGGGTCAGCATCCCTGGGCTGGCACCCCCAGCCCTCCCCAGCACCCCGTTGTTGTGGAACAGAACACAGGAGCTGCTTGTCCATGAGGATCTGCCCTGCCTGCTCCAGCCAGGCACAGCCCTGGTCCCCTGTGGCTGGAGCAGGGCAGGAAACGCAGGAAGGGGCTCTTGTTTTCCAGGGGAGCACATAGAGGGACACATTGTGTTGGGGCAGAGCTGGACGGGAGAGGATGTGCCTTTACACATTACACTCCCTGTCCTGGGAGGGCTATTTTTAAACCCAAAGCAGCAGCTGGTGTTTCTGCAGGGCCCGGGGTGGCTCAGCTTGCCCTGCGGGGGATGTCCCAGCTCCATCCCCGTCCCCTGCCTCTCCCAGCCATCTCTTTGGGACTGTGGAAGCACATCTCGGTGCTTGGGTGGGAGGAGACGCTGGGAACGATCCCCTTGTCCCCGCGGCTCGCTGGGCTTCTCTCTGCCAGGCGGTTTATCCCCCGGCCAAGGTCACAGCGGGGCTGGAAGCTGCCGACGGGCAAAAGGCTGGAAATAGAGCGTTTCCTGCCCCCGCGAACGACTTCTCAAGGCAAAACAATCGGGGCTGGCGCTGCCGGCTCTTATCTCCGCTCGCTGCCGATTCCTGCGGGCAGCGCGGGGCCCCTGGGGCTGCTCCCGCACAACCGCAGCTCCCAGCGGCTTCTCCCCACCCCCCAGTGGGTTGGTTTTTTTGCCCACGCTGTTCAGACAGGACCCTTTGGGGGTGCAGGACAAGGGGGAGTGGTTTTGAACTGTAAGAGGGAAGGTTTAGGTTGGATATGAAGAAGTTCTTCGCCATGAGGGTGGTGAGAGCCTGGCCCAGGTTGCCCAGGGAAGCTGTGGCTGCCCCATCCCTGGGGGTGTTTTCCAAATGAAATGGGTTAAAAAATGATCTAGAAACAGGGTTTTCTTGCTGGGGGAAGATGTGTTTCTGAGCTGGAAGGTGTTTTCATTTTTGGACAAGGGGGTGATGGTTTAAAACTGGAAGAGGGAGATTTGAGACCTGAGAGCAGCTTCCAGTGCCTGAAGGGGCTCCAGGAAAGCTGGGGAGGGACTTGGGACAAGGGCAGGGAGGGATGGGATGAGGGGGATGGATGAAAAGTGGGAGAGGGAGATGGAGGTTGGAGATGAGGAGGGAATTCTTTGGTGTGAGGGTGGTGAGAGCCTGGCCCAGGTTGCCCAGGGAAGCTGTGGCTGCCCCATCCCTGGCAGTGTTGAAGGGCAGGTTGGATGGGGCTTGGAGCAGCCTGGGCTGGTGGGAGGTGTCCCTGCCCATGCAGGGGGTTGGATCTGGATGATCTTGAAGGTCCCTTCCCACCCAAACCATGCCATGTCTGTATGGAAACTGACTGTGCCTTTTCCCCCCTCTCCCCAGCAAACTGCGGCACCAGGCGCAGAGTGAGCGGTTCGGGTACAAGGAGGTAAAATCCACGGATGATCCTGCACGGACCCACAGCAATTTGGGGCTGAGTGGGAGGGGACAGAGCAGGGACCGATGCTGCTCATCCCCAGCTGGGCTATGGGATTTTTAAAAGCCTTGTGCTGGGCACACACTGCTCGGTGCAACCAGACTCGACCTGCTTGGCTTGTTTCTGCTGCTGCTCCTGGCAAAAGTCCCTCCCGTGTTAAATCCTTTGCCTCCTCTTCTCCCGCAGGTGGTGCTGAAAGGTGATGCCCGGAGGCTGAACATGCACGGGGTGAGTGGTGCTGCCTCGGGTGGAGCTGGGGCTGATGGGGACAATCCTAGAATCACGGGATGGTTTGGGTTGGAAGGGACCTTCAAGATCCTCTATTCCCAACCCCCTGCATGGGCAGGGACTCCTCCCACCAGCCCAGGCTGCTCCAAGCCCCATCCAACCTGCCCTTCAACACCCCCAGGGATGGGGCAGCCACAGCTTCCCTGGGCAACCTGGGCCAGGCTCTCACCACCCTCACACCCAAGAATTCCCTCCTCATGTCCCCTTATTTCCCTAAATCTCCCCTCTTCCAGTTGGAATGCTGTGGAGCACGTCCCCTCTGCTCCGTGGGGTGGCAGGTGCCTCCTGGGAATGGGGAAGGAAACTCCCTCCACGGGGGTGTTTGGGGAACTGAGCTGAACTCCCAGCTGGAAATCCCCGGGAAGCAGCACCACAGCAGCGGGATTTCCCCCATCCACAGCATTTCTGGGTGGGAGCAGGGCCCGGTGTGGGGCATCCCCCTGGGTCCCACGCC